GTCGATAGATTTTTCAACCCAAGAACTTTCAACCCTCTCAGAATTTTAGGGACGATAAAAATCATTATTGGAATTTTATCCCAAGCCCTAAGAAATCACAGAGAAAGCTTAGAGAAACAGTGGCTGTGCAGTGTCATATATTAAGGTTCCTGTTCCAAAAATGGTAGCCAGTTATTCATTCTCTGCCTTACTGGGAAAATGTGCTCTGGCTTCCAGTAAGAATGCAGATTCAGGCTTGTTTTAATGAAGAGATTCTTACTAATCAAATAATAGATGCAGTCACCTGGTTGGTAAGAGAGTGAGAACCCTCTTGCCTGTAGGAGCATTTCTTGTGTCTTTGGGTCATTCAATAGTGGCCTTGCTTAGAAATGGATGACTTGGGTAACTAAGATCTCTTAGGCTTTCTCCAGCTTTGTGCTATTTCTACCCACTACACCAACAACAGTAGAAGTAGATGTCTTGTTTCCTCAGTGCTGCTCATAGATTGTAGCTCCCCTATTCTGCTTTCAAGGTCTTCCCACTCACCTACCTTACTTAAGTGCAAAGGACAAAGCAGGTTCAGAGTTAACACATTTCTTGAACCTTTTTTGAGAATATACTATGATGTCTGCCCTAGTTTATTTGCCATTAGGAGTTCTCATTACTGATGTCCAGCAACATTACCAACCTTTAGTCCCTGAAGGAAAAACAGCTTTTGATGAGGAATGGATAGGAGGGCCCGTATCTGGGGAGGAAGGGAATAGGGGGAAATGGAATCAAAGACAAAAGAAGAAAGATGTGGAGAATTGACAGATCCACCATAAGAGTGGAACTTTGCCTTTGAGTAATATAATCTTCATGAGTGTAAAGGTGGGCTATGGTCATAGTTACTGTAACTATTACCCAATGGTACCCTGCTGTGAGGGTAATTATAWGATAGAAATGTGGGAATAGGACCTGGGGTGTAACTCAGTGGTAGAGCACTTGAGTAGCATGTATGAAGCTCTGTGTTCAATCCCTAGTGCCACCAAAAAAAAAAAAGTGGGAGGGATTTTTGTGAGAGGAGAAAACAGGAATTTTATAACCTTTTTGACTACCAAAGAAGTATTTAAACCCTAGCCATACTATTTTGCTGCCAAAGTCCCTCTACAGCATTTTAAACTCGTGTGTGTGTGTGTGTGTGTGTGTGTGTGTGTGTGTGTGTGTGTACACATTTATGTCCTTTGTTCTAATCATATTATTTTTGAGACTTTGAGGACAGTTAAACCTTTCTATGAAGTGTTTAGAGATCTTTGATCTAGAATGACAAGGACTGGGTGGCCCTGGAGTGATGCCCAGAAACCTTGACAGGAATGTACTGATGAGTCTCTGGGGAAGAGTACCTGTGCTTATCTGGAAGTCAGAACTCTTATTAAATTCTAGACTTGCCTTTTTTATTTTTAACTGGGGATTGAACCCAGGGGCATATTTTATCACTGTGCCCATCACCAGTCCTTTTACACACACACCCCTAGGGGTGCTTATCCACTGAGGGTCTAAGTTACTGAGACTGGTCTTGAACTTGATCCTCCTGCCTTAGCCTCAAGGGATTGCAGGCATGCATGCCACTGTGCCCACCACAAAGTGTCGTTTTTGACTATAGGGAATGAAAGATAATTGTTCCCCCTTTGGTTTTATGTGGTGCTGAGGATCGAACCCAGTGCCTCACTCATGCTAGGAGAGTGCTCTATCTCTGAGCCACAACCCTAGCCCCCTGCAAACACATTTTAATGTCAGCCCAGGCTAGACCTATTTGGGTTAATAAACATGCCATAGCATTTAGGACTGTTTGGGTCTCCCTGTACAGCACAGTGCCCTCCTCTGTTCCCATGACTCAGAAGGTGAGTTTGCATTTCACATGGGCCCAAAACTGGTCACCAGGCTGAGCCACCCAGACTTGTATCTTCCATCCCCATCTCCTTTCCCCACAGGACCCTTTTGGAGAGAAGCGGGGCCACTTTGACTACCAGTCCCTCTTGATGCGCCTGGGACTGATTCGTCAGAAAGTGCTGGAGAGGCTCCATAATGAAAACGCCGAAATGGACTCTGATAGCAGCTCTTCTGGGACAGAGACAGATCTGCACGGGAGCCTGAGGGTTTAGACCCTGCTCCCCCTCCCCTCCCCCCACCTGAGAGTCCCAGCAAAGTCCCTTCCCCCACCCCAGGGATGGAGAGGCACTGTGTATCTCCCTCCAAACGTGACGTCATTCTGCAAGATGGCAAGAAGCAAACTTGGATCCCAGGGTGTGGGAGTGGGGGGCTATTCCAATCTGACCTCCTTGGCGCTGGAGCACCTGGGGCTGTGTTCATCTTGGATCAGGGCCAAGGTACCTTTACAGGATCATCTATGACGAGGGCCTCTGGCAAAACAAAACAACAAACACACCTCTCTGCAAGGCCAGCTCCTTARGGTTTAAAGACAGAAATTTCAGTTCCAAGAGGGAATGTGCCCAAATGATTTATGGGGATATCTGGAAGGAAGCTTTGGGGTAGGGGGCTGTTTGTGACACTTAAGCAGTCTGGGTGGTTGTCTGTGTCTGTCTTCAGTCTTGAAGCAGGGCTTCCCATTGCCCTTATCCTCCGTGCCCCCCTGCCCCTTTATCTCCCACGGGCCAGCATAATTTTGTTTTTCCTAATTTATAGTCACTGTTCTAGACAGACCAAAGAGAAGGAACAGTGGTGGAGTCTAGGCTGCTGATCAGTAAGCTTTACCTAGCACCTGAGCACCTTTCTCCCCTACCCCTCGTTCCCTTGCTCTTTTAGGTTTCAGACAGAACATAAACAGGACCAGGACTGAACCAGGTCTTGGTGAAGCCTGCACAGGCACCGTGAGAAGCCGGAAGTACTGTGTGTTCCCGCAATCACTGATTTGAAAAGTTCCCAACACAGGCAGCTGCAGTGTGTATGGGATTAGAGCCACTACATAGAATAGTCTCTTAAAGATTTTCTTAAGTACTAGTCACAATGAGGATATTTTTTCTTGGGGGTGGGGTAARCAGGGAAGACTGATGCTAGTCCTTATTGCATTTTGTTTGGCTGACCTTGTGTATTTTCACCCCAGTCTGTAGTCCCCTACCTCACTTCAACCCCCAGGGAGCAGGAGTAGCCAATGGCAGAAGGGGATCTGGGCTGGGACTCTAGAGACTCCTTCCCCTCTCTCCCTTCCCCCTCCCAGCTGCTCTTTGTCACTGGCTCTGATGGGTGTTTGCCTGGCTGTGTTGCTTCTCTATTTGTATTTTAGCTGCAGTGATCCTTTAACTGGTTGGCTCAGAAAAGTGTTCTAGGTGCCCAATAATACTGGGCATCAAGGGAATTTCTCCTTCCCCTTTTTGATATGTTCTTCCCCTACTTCCAGATTCTTGCTGTTATGGACCCCCATGGAGTGTTGGTGATCCATGTGAAACAGGGCCCAGTCAGTATCCAGCCACAGGCAGAAGAGAGGATAAGGTGTATCTGCCCTACCCACTGCTTTTAAGGTCTCTGCCTGATGGATCATGGGACTCCCCTAGGGGGGGACAGTGGGGGAGGAAAATGGGGCACAAAAGAAGAGCTTCCTAAAGGGCAGGAAGAGGAACTGGGGAGGGAGTGGTACACTTGGGGAACAGAAGTTTATCTTGGCTGTCTGAAGAATAGGTCTCAACATGGAGACTCAAAGGGACCCTGCTTCCAATGTCCCTCCTCTTCCATTCCCAGAGCTACTCCAGGGCCRAGAAGAATGCCCTTGGTTTGTGGGTCCAGTGTTGTCTGTTATCCATCTAAGTGTTCCCACTTTGAAGTGACAATCTTCTCCTTGGCCCTGCCATGGGGCAGAGCATGTCTGGCATAGTGGCCTGACTTTTACGCCCTAATCTTGAGTTGAGGAAATATATGCACAGGAGTGAAAAGAGATGTCTTTATATCTGACTGTACATAAATGAAATTTTTTTTTCTTTTTTTTTTTTTTTTTTGGTGCAATAAAGTTTGTTTTGGCAGAAGGAGGAAGCGCCTATGGGTGTGGGAGGGGGTTTCTGTCAAGGAAGAATGGGATCATCTCAACCACTACACTCGCCTGGGCCTGAATCTGTTAGGAGAGGAACTGTTCAGTGAATTGTCTGGAAGCTAAAAGACTTAGGTAATGTGGTATAGGCAGGACTGTTGGTGATTATTTCTCTGTTAGGGAAGGAGGGGCTTTTCAAGGGTGGCTGTGGCTCAGGTAGTCAATGAGCAGAAGGCCAGTTTCACCTCAATGACTTCCAAAAGCATTGAGGAGTGAGCAATGCTGTGTAACAGAAGTAGTAATGGGCCTGTGCTACAGCTGATAAGGAAAGGATGTCCGCATGGAGAGACCACTGGATTTTAGCTTTCTAGTATTAAATGAGCACTTCTGAAGAATTTTGCGTTTACTTTGAGAGCTGTAAACTCTGGCTTGGTCTCTCATCACCATCCTTGCTATAGCAGAATCTTGCTTCCTGGGGCACATGGGCTTTTCCTCTTGGCTGGCCACATGTGTAGAAGGCATTGTACACATAATGTTCTGCCTGCCTGTACTGTGCAAAGCAGTGATATGGGAAAGCGTGGGTTCTGGTTAATAGACCCAGTTCTTTGGTGCTGTTTAAGCTGATAGCCTCTGGTAAATTACTTTGATTTGTCATCTGTGAAGTTAAGGATACCTATTTTTATTAATGCTGCAAGGATTAAATGTGTAATATAAGACAGTACAGGGTAGGTATTCAGTAAGAGTCCCACCACTGAGGTTAGAGGGACCTGGTTATCAGTCTAGGGAGAGAACTAGCAGGGAATTTGAGGACCAAAACATAATATTCACTATTGTTGGATTCTCCTCAAAGTTCTGTTTTCTTTCCTCCAGCTTAGCCACCATTCAACACTGACTTCTGTTTCCTTCACACTCAGACTTGGATCTGTCATAATGTAGATCCTCTACAGAGAAAGCTAGGAGAGACTGAATCAGTGACTGACTATTTCACAAGGGTCTGCTAGTGTGTGATAAGGAGCATGGAATAATGAAGAGTTCTGAATTAGAGTGGTTATTCACTTTATGGCTACAGAAAAAACTATACTCTGTAGCCAGGAGATGGCTTGTGTTCTGGGCCCAGCTCTTCCATGACCTTATAGATGACCTGCACAAGTCATATGTGCTTGCTGTACTTGTGTTACTCAGGTTCCCTTACTGGATAAAGGAAGCTTCCTCCAAAAGAGATGCAATGTGAAGGCACTTTTAAAAAATAAAAAATACTGGGGGAAGAAAGAAAAACTTAGAACCTTTCTTTTATAAACAAAATTGTCCAGGTTTATTCACCAACAGTTCCTCCTTTTTCTCACTGCCTGCTACTGTGCATCCTTCCATACTAAATCAGGGAAGGGCTTCTCTGGCCTCCTCAGCTGTTATCTCCTGTGAGTAGAGGTCAGTGAAGAGAGCTGGCAGCCAGTAGTGGGCCTCCCCTGGGGCCTGCAAGTCCAGCCAGGCCAGCCCCTCCTTCAACAGGTGTTCCTGGGGGGAAAAGAAAGAATGCTTGAGAGGGGAGGTTCTRTGGGTAAAGTGTGGTAGCAAAGCAATCTCCAAACCTATTTTGGCTTCAGCAAGGTTTTCAAACAGCCTTTACGTGCCTTTGCACACTTACACAACCAAACTGGGATGCTGCTTGGCCTCATTTGCCTGAAGTGTGAAGATAACCACCAAGTCATTTAACTTGTGCTGCTAGTGAATAGTAGAGCCTGAGTAAAGTGGGATGTAGTGGARGATCGTAGGGCTCTTATTTTATGGCCTTGAGCAAATTACTGCTTCCATTCTCCCTGGAGAAAAGTAGAGATCACTGTTCTAGCTGTGAGTTGATTTGCTGGGAACAAATGTGAAGGACCACATTTATTCTACGATGGACTCACAGTTCCTATTCCTATGCAGGAAATATGCTCAATATTTACATTCTCCCACTTTACAGATGAAAAATCTAGATACTAAATTGCCTGGGTAAGGGAAAAGCTACTGAAGCCAGAGCTCCTACATTCTCATGCTGCTGCTTCCTCTTCACAACAGTCTTACATCAGTACATGAATATATATAAAGTTGTTATATAATATGCAATATATTGCTTAGTATATACTTATAGATACATAATTATAAGTAGTAATTAATTCCCTTCACTCTGTACTAGTTATTTCCAGCAGAAACTATATTAAGCTCCTGACCAGCAACTCCAGGTCGAGTATGTCCAGGAGAGTAAGTGGGCATTGGTGATTCCTCAGTAGCAAGGGCAGCTGCTGTTAGTGCACCCCAGGGTCAGAGGCTTGCCTTAATGAGTTCTACCTTCTCAGCARAGAGATGATGGGCTTCTCCTAGGGTGAAAACTAGCCTACAAGGCAAGAGTGAGCAGAGCAAGCCTAAAGTTCCTGCCTGTGTGGAACCCACCTCCCAACCAGGAGCCCATCTTTTCTGGGCCATTCCAAAATCACATACCAGCACTTGGCGCGCCCGCTCCGTCTCCCATTTAAGACTGGCTTTGATTTCACTGACAGTCACGTACCCATTTTTCTGAAGGAAGGAGCAGTGGGAACTGAGTCAGTTAAGAGTGCACTCCCCTAGAGCCCAGCACCTGCCCAGGAGCAGCACACTTATCTGAACAGGAGAAAGAGCTGCCCTTGGGCCAATCCTGAGAAAGTATGGGAAAAGAAATGTTTAGAGAAGTGATTTTCAGGATGATAGAGGTAGTTTCGTGGGTTTGATCTTAATATGTGGGGTCCCAGACACTAAGATATTAAATTAGACTTGCAGAGAACTCTAATGCATGTCAAGGGAAGATTCAGAATGATAACTGATAGGAAGCAATGGTGATAATCATCACCTGTTAATCTAAAATATAAATAGCTCTTGCCCTGCTTCATCCTACCTGTTCCCCAAAATAAAAATTTTTAATAAAAAAGCCCATTCCTTAATTTTATTTTTCATTAAAGAATTAAGGAAATGAACATGTCTTTCCTAAAATATATGATGGAGTTCTGGGGGAAGATGGTATATGCTTCAGGCATGCAAGGAATGAGAGAATTGGCAAGCAAAATTTTAAAACTTGTTTTGAGGAATCCACAAAGTAGCTTAARAGGACATCAGAGAGTGTCTACCCCAGGAAATATAGTTAGTTGTCTGCATGTCTGTCTACCTGACTAGACTGTAAGCTCCTCGAGAGCAGGGACTTCATTGGACCTCTCTCTATATCTGCCCCACAGCCTAGCCCAGTGCTTTGCACTGTAGCTACTCAATAAATGTCTGCTGAATGAGCACAGGACTGAGTAATTCATCCATTAGACAGTCTGCAAAAGACCTGAGCAGTGGGGAGAAAGAGATAACAGCTCTCACACTCTCTAGGGGTGCACCATTACCTCTGCCAGCTGCAGCACCACAGTGTGATCCATATTGAGCTCAGCTGGAACAGACTGAATGAGGTAAGTACCGCCCACAGGGATGATGCCGAAGCCAGTGCCCAATGCCTTTAGTTTCTTGATGGCCCTGATCAGGTCGTCTCTGAGGTGAGGAAGAGCAGCTTAAAGACCCTTGGCAGATAAGACCTGACAACAATGCAGTTTCAGCTCTGCCCGAGGCAGGGTACCCTGAGAGAAGAGTCAAAGGGCACACAACACTCAACTACATCAGTAAAATGGCAGGTTAAATGGCACCAAAAAGTGCTTGGACACTGAAGGAAGATAGTACAGAAGTCAGATTGCACACTTGGCAAACCACTAATTCCAACACCCTAATAAAAGCAAAAAATAGAATACATGACCAGTGTAACTCCACATTACGTACAACCACAAAAATGGGAAGTTATACTCCATGTATGTATGATGTCAAAATACATTCTACTGTCATGCCTAACTTTTTTTCCTAAAAAGTAATAAGCATACTGAAGCTCATCAGGAAATATGGATACGGTAGCTGAAGACAACAGGGAGTAGTGTGAACTGTAGAGCTTTTTTTTTTTTTTCTTATTCCTGGTGTTGAGGATTGAACCCATGGCCTTTCACATGATAGGCAAGCGTTGTAAAACKAAGCTACTTTCCCAGTCCTTTAGAAATTCAATCCCAGGATTGCCAGATTTTCCAATTTCCCAGTTAACAACTTCAGGAAAGGCATAAAATGAGTAAGTCATATATCCAGCCCACAAACTGAAGTTTATAACTGCTGCCAAAGCMTAGAAATGTTATCACCTAATCAACCAGGAATTGAGAACTTTTAGGTAGATTGAAATGCTTTCTCCAACCCCTTAGAAGAGCAGATTCAAATCTGTCTTGTCAGGCATGATGGCATACACCTTTAATCCCAGCAACCTGGGAGGCTGAGACAGGAGGATTGCAAGTTCAAAGCCAGACCCAGAAATTTAACCAGATCCTCAGAAACTTAGTGAGACTATCTAAAAATAAGAAAAAAATAAAAAGGACTGGTCATGTATTCAGTGATAATGCACCCCTGTTTTCAATCCCCAGTAACCCCACGAAATACTCTTTCAAATGCACTAGGTCACCTCATTTGCAGTGAGTATGGCTAATAATCTTGTCATAACTTCCTTTTTTAATATTCCTGGTCTTTATGATCTCATTCTGGGATAGCTCTTTGGGAGCTACATCTAAAACAACCACAAATTTCTTCTCTAATTGGACTCTATGTTTTAGAGGCTTGTGAACCAGGCCAATATACTCCATTATATCACCCTGATCTCTAAGCCCAGAATTTCTTTTCTTCTTCTTCTTCTTCTTCTTTTTTTTTTTTTTTTAATGGTGCTGGGAATTGAACCCAGGGCCTTGTGCATGTAAAGCAAGCACTCTACCAAATGAGCTATATCCCCAGCCCCTCTATGCCCAGCATTTCTAAGGGCTACATCTGTCTCCTTGGCTTCAAATAATCTCAAAATCCATGTACATACTCCTAAGTTTTAAACAATACATATGTATGAAAAATGCTAATACCACAAAATGTATACAAGTTGTAATCTCTTAGTTGAGAGACAAATGTTTTGTTTCATTTTTGTTTTTCTGTGGAACTGGGGATTGAACCCAGGTGTACTTCAGCTGGATTAAGTGCTGGTTTAAGGACTGAACCATACTTCCAKCCCTTTTKTGTATTTTACTTGGAGACAAGGTTTAAGTTGCTGAGGCTGGCTTTGCATTCAGCATCCCCCTGCCTCAGCCTCCAGAGCTGGCTGGGGGAAATTCAGGCATGCACCAGTGTGCCTGGACAAAATGAGGTGTGTTTATCTTCTTTTTTTTCAGTGCTAGGGATCAAATACAGGATCTCACACATGCAAAGGATATGGTCAAAAACTGAGCCATATCCCCAGCCGCCTTTCTTAAAAAATAGGTCTCTGTAGTTTTCTCATATGAAAATATATTTTTTTCTGACCATACAGAGCAATAAAAACAGTTCACAGCTGGGCATGGTGGTGCAGCGTACAATCCCAACAATTTGGGAGGCTGAGGCAGAAGGATGAGAAGTTTGAGGCCAGCCTCAGCATATTAGTAAGACTTTTAGCAACTTAGCAAGACTTTGTCTCAAAAAATAAAAAGGGATATAACTTAGTGATAAAGTACCTCTGGGTTCAACCCCTAGTACTGAAAAAAATAAAATTAAGAAACAAAAATCATAGGCTGGGGATGTGGCTCGGTGATAGAGCGCTTGCCTAGAATGTGTGAGACACTGGGTTTGATTCTCAGCACCACATATAAATAAATTATAAAAATTAATGTCTATTGACAACTAAAAATAAAAAAAATCAGCACCTAAGCTAGCCTACACATATGAGGAGTAGGAAGAAGATTTCCATCTAGGGCTAGACATAGTGGCACATGCATGTAATCCCAGAGACTAGGGAGACAGAGGCAAGAAGATGGCAAGTTCAAGGCCAGCATCAGCAACTCAGTGAGGCCCTAAGCAATTTAATGAAACTCTGTTTCAAAATAAAAAGGGTTAGGGATGTGGCTCAGGAGTTAAACTCCCCTGGATTCAAATCCTGGTACCAAAACAAAAATTATTATAAATAAATGAATAAATAAATGATTTCCATCTGACTTTAAAGACCTCTAAAAGGGGTGCAAGGCAACACCTACTGGCTGACATCCTGGGCGAACTTGCCCCTTCCTTTTAACACCTGTTGATGTAGTTCCTCCAGAGTTATCAGACCTGTTGGAGAGGGAGACAGAAAGCAGATGAAGAGATTACCTTTATGGCTGCAATGTTCTTGATATAAGGGCTGTGTCTGTTTATCGCCAACAATTTATAACTTTTTTGTTGCTGTTGTTGTTTTTGATACTGTTAATTGAACCCAGGAGCACTTGAATCCAGCTTTTTAAAATTTTTTATTTTTATTTATTTATTTATTTTTTTTTTTTTAAAGAGAGAGTGAGAGAGGAGAGAGGGGAGAGAGAGAGAGAGAGAATTTTTAATATTTATTTTATTTAGTTCTCGGCGGACACAACATCTTTGTTGGTATGTGGTGCTGAGGATTGAACCCAACCCGGGTCGCACGCATGCGAGGCGAGCGCGCTACCACTTGAGCCACATCCCCAGCCCCTAAAATTTTTTATTTTGAGACAGGGTCTAAGTTGCTCAGGGCTTTGCTAAATTACTAAAGCTGACCCTGAACTTGTGTTCCTCAGCTTCAACCACTTGAGTAGCTGGGATAACAGACATGTGCCCCCATACCCAATCTAGAATACTTCAATTACAAATTTTTTTTAGTTGTTGATAAAGTTTTATTTTATTATTTATTTATATACAGTACTGAGAATTAAACCCAGTGCCTCACACATACTAAGCAAGCACTCTACCACTAAGCCACAACCCTAGATGACTATTTGTAACATCACATTTTCAGGAATGCAGACTCAAGTGGCATCCTACACCTCAAAAAGGCAGTGCAGGCCTGTAGTTATTAATGAGAAAATCATAACCCAGATGCATCACACATCATGGGACAAAACTACTTCCTACTTCCCTTCTATTTTCTGTAATGAGGCAGGACTGGATATTCCCAGCCAAAGATCTTTCAAGAATAGACAACTGGCCAGATGCAGTGTAAGCCTGTAATCTCAGCAACTTGGAAGACTGAGATAGGAGGATCACAAATTTGTTGACAGCTTCAGCAATGTTAAAGACCTGTTTCAAAAAAAGAAAAGGCACTTGGGATGTAACTCAGTTGTAAATCACCCATGTATTAGAAAAACAAAAAGAGGGGCAGGGGATGTGGCTCAAGCGGTAGCACACTCGCCTGGCATGCGTGCGGCCCGGGTTCGATCCTCAGCACCACATAC